ATGCTCCATAGAATCTTTACCTTCAGTGTGGAGTTTGGATTAATCTATTTATTTTTTTGAATGAGTGTTTTTAATTTTTAAAACAATTATAGAATACTTAAGATATTTATTTTGAAATGAGTTTACACATGTTAATAAAGTATCAAATTTAGCTCTTTTTATGAACAAAAGCAAAATTTTGTATGGTATTTTTATGTGTGAGAAGAAATTCGAAGTAAATCAATTGAGATATAGTCGGGTTTTAATTTTATTAGTTTTTAATATACTATTTCTTTGCTTCTATTCCTTTTTCCAAATAAATTTGTAAAGTAGTGGCTTCATAAAATTAATTTTACATAGCATTCTAATTTAGTTATTTATTTTTTATTAAGTGATAAATATTTAGTTCACAAAAATCGATTCCCCTCAATTTTAATTCTAAATGAAAATATTCACTTTGATGGAGATTTTCCATACCCATAGGGACCTCTTATTGTCCACAAGAATGGGGAACAGAGGCATTTTTTATCCCTTATAAAAAATTTCCACATGGAGATTCCCAAACCCAACATTAGCAAGGATGAGGATGGGGAAGGAGTCTTTAACCCCATAGGGAGTTGTTGTCATTTACTTAGTGCATTTAAGGAAATTGATTTTCTTAAACGATAACCTCAAAACTTAAATTTTAAACTTAAGATAATATTTACTTATTAGTAAATACAACCCTTAAGATTATAAGAAAACGAATAAAAATCCATTCACCTACCGATAGATAATTTGGATGTAAACAAGCCATTGTCATTGGCACGAAGTGTTGAGTTGAAACGCAGAAGTTCACAATTTCCGCTCCCAACCAAGACGCCAAAAGAGAATAGGTGTTTCTAGAAGCAAAAGCTATAAGGGTTTATGATATCCGTACGTATTGATACTCTATCCTGCCCTTTCTCCTTGCAAAGCAAAAGAAGAAACTTGTACTCAAATATAACGAAAGAATGTTGTAGTGCAATTTATTCTACATAAACTACTATTTTTAATTATTAATTAAAAAAAACTTTTAAAACTAGAAGACTTGTATATTTTATCAATAATTAAATAAAAAAGACTGCATTTCACTTTTATAATATAGCAAATGTTTTGACTTTTCTATAATGAGAATTCTACATCTTGACGTTCTGGAGATACTTTTAATAAAGTATAAGATTAAACAATTCTCAGTATCTCACTTAACTATTAAATTTTTTGGGTGAAAGGAAAGGGTGAAACAGGTTTTTACATGATATAATAGTTTGGCT